AACCTTACGAGTAAGTCTGTGTGAGATAAAGATCAACCTGTTAATTCTCCTTTTGCCTGGAAGCATTGCTGGTCTAACCAAAGCCAATTTGATTATTTCAGTTGTGTTTCTTGCGGCCGTTTGTGTCATCTGCGTATGGCTGTCTTGGAAAAAGGGGTCTATAAATCCAAGCCTCATATAGGAACTCGCCAGAGGTCATTGTATGCAAGTCACTTATGAGATGAAAACGCACCAAAATAGTCATATGCCAGTGATTTCGTTAATATAATACTACCATATCGAAAATATTCTCCATCTGAATATTTCAGAGGCAAACAAACAGGGACGTTCCGTGTTACACAGGGCGGACCCCTTCCATTTGCCGTTGACATAGTGGCACCGACTTTAAAGTATGGATTTAAATGTTTTATGAAGTACCCTGCTGATATTCCTGACTATTTCAAGCAAGCATTTCCCGAGGGTCTGACATACGACAGGAAATTAACATTTGAAGATGGAGGGTGTGCCACGGCCACCGTGGAAATGAGGTGAGTAATTCCTCACTATTTAACTGTTAATTAGCTTTTTAACTTGCAGACTGCAAAAAAATCTTTGAGTTATGTCTGTGGATGATCGAAAACAAAAATCATGTAAATTTTGTTGCATATTCTGCAACAATACACAAAGATGTGGGCTCGATGTGAAAAAGTGAAAATTCACGACGGATTTCCATACTGAAGAACATCACAGAAGCTTCAAAAGTGCAGTATACCAGCGATACCGGTTACTTTTAAAATATAATTAGGGAAAACTCGGTTTGTACAAATTGACGTAATTTTTTTACATTCGTCTAACAGTAATCTAACCTGTTGATTTAGAGGTTTTTTCCCCACTAAAATCTTGTTACCTCGTAAGGCAAACTCAAAATGTATGTTTAATCATTTTGCTTTCTGAAATGCTTCCTACTTTGACAGCCTCAAAGGCAACACTCTTGTGCACAAGACCAATTTCCAAGGTGGCAACTTTCCCATCGACGGGCCTGTCATGCAAAACAAGACGCTTGGCTGGGAACCAACCTCGGAGAAAATGACTCCTTGTGATGGAACAATCAAGGGAGACACTATCATGTACCTTTTGGTCGAGGGAGGGAAAATGCTGAAATGTCGATATGAAAATAATTACAGGTAATTACGTTGGCTTCGACTGCTGTGTAGATACATGTAAACATATATTCAGAAGCAGTGCACCCGAACGTTTAGTGTCACCTCCGAGGTTTGCACGTTTCTTCATTCGCCAAGTTTCCGAATTTTGGGATCATAACTTTTCAACCGCATCGGATTACATAACTGCAAAGCGGGATAAAAAGGCCAGTTGTGGACATTTGTCTGAAATTATTTTGATCGCTTACGATTATAATTATGACTCGAACGCTCTCTTCGGAAACCTTCTTCATCCTTGTGGTTACCAGGGCGTCGAAGTAGATGACTTGATATCTATACTGCTCATTTCAGCCAGAAATAACGGATCATTTTTGATTTTTTTTCTCCAGAGCCAAGAAGGTGATACACGAGATGCCACCGAGCCATTTTGTGGATCTCCGCCTTGTGAAAACCAACCTCGATAAGGAAGGTTTGAAGTTTCAACTGGAAGAACATGCCGTGGCAAGAATCCTCGAGGTTTGAGGATTACTGGGGAGTCACTATCATTGTGAGTCTCGACATTGTTTGTAAAACAACATGAGATGAATAAAGAAGAGCGTTTTCAACCTCAAATGTACGTCGGTCTTACATGTTTTTAAACTTTCGCCTGATTATGAGGAGTTATGAAAAAAACGAATCAAATCCCTGCCGTTATTATTCGTTGCTTGCAGAAAGTGCGTAAAGTTCGCTTCACAGTTGTCAAGGCCCAAATTTTTCCTATACTAACCTATGGTGATTGCATAATTTTGATTTCAACTTTATAAATCATTCAAATCTAGAAGATATGAGGATTGGTGCTAAAAAGAAATTTTAAGCTCAGCTATCCCAGAAAACAATTCACTTTTCGACCTCCAGAAACTTTCCCAAGAAAAGATAATATGAGTTCAAGAAATTTAAACCTTCCTACATGTAAACACTAAATTGATTCGTGCAACTATTCATGAAGAAACTCTTCCCCTGTTGGACCTATTGGACGAGATGACCTCCATTGTTGAGCCAAGATTCGTATCACCTTAGTAAAGTTAATTCACAAATTCCCCGCTTTGGCCAATAAGATTGTAAAATTTTGAAGAAGACAAAAACCTTGAGTATGAAATAGAGGATATTATATGGCTGCGCAGAGATAAGAAATTTGTCTTCCAGTGTTTAAAAACATTCCACGAGTGAGCGAATATGTTTTCTCAAACTCATTTATAATGCATGAGGTCATTAACTAATTGTGTGGCCTCATTTGGGTCACATGGATGCCCCTTGATACCCGGTAAAGAACAAATCCAGACACGCGTGATTAGATATCCAAACACACGTGTTAGGATATCCAAACACGTGTGTTTGGAAATCAATTTCCAAAATAATGCAGTACTTGAACAAATGTTTATTAACTTCCAGGATTATAGTAATCATTCTTTGTAGTTAACATTTGCGTTTACATTGCAATTCAAGAACATTCCAGAATTTCTCTGATTTAACATTCCACGTACACTGCTTTCACCTTCCAAAAGTTCACTGCTAGTACTCGTGGTTTCCGTTACGCTACTAGATGAGCAAGATCCAAGTGGTTTAGACACTTTAACACAAAAATTGCAAAGGGGACGCCAATGCGAAGTGTGACTGCTTTCAATGAATGAAGTTGCTTTCAATGAATGAAATGAAAAAACATAACATCTTTCATGACACTGACTAACAACCATGCACAAGCGACAATGAAACAAAACAACACAAATACTGACTATTTACGTGGACGTTCTGTTTTTGTGTTTATTGCTAATAAATTAGGCCCTTTTGAGGAGCCATTTCATAAACTCGAGCTTCATGTTTCAGCAGGATTTTCAAACACTCGAAAACAACAAAAACACTCGGCCTTCGGCTTCGTGCTTTCATTAGCTTTCTCGTGTTTGGAAACCCTGATGAA